ATTTACATGAATAACATAGTTTAATATGTAATTGATAACATTTAGTGTCACCAACATCATGAATGATTATTCATGTATATATTTTTTAGTGCAAAGCACTAATTTTAATGAAATTTTTAATGTCCAAAAATGTGAAATTTCTTTATGACTAGCAATATTTTAGACTGACTTTTTAATTACTTTTTCTTTTTGAAAATGGGACCTTATTTTTATATATTTTTATTTTATAATTAATTTTAAAATATTAACATTGAAATGTATTTACAAATTAAATATGAGAAATGAATGAAAATGTGTTTATAAAGTGATGATAAAATTCATTTAGCTGTTTAATTGAGACAATTCAGAAAAAGTTTTTAAATATGGTTCATTAATTTCCAAATTTTCTTTGGGTAATGAGTGAATATTTCATTTTAATTTGAGCCAACTTGTATTTCACCCATTAAATAACATTGAAGAGAGTTTTGAAATAAAAACGGTTCAGTTTACTCATGCACATGATATAAGCTATTTGTATATTTCAAGAAAGATATGTTATCTACAAATATAATATGGTATATTTAATAATTAATCAAAAATAAGTTTCTTGACATTATTTAATTGTTTTGTATTCATTAAATTCTTCCAATCAGAGAAGTATAAGATCTTACTTTGTTCCAATTGGAAAAGCACTCACTTGTGTGTAGCATGTTCTTTGTGCATGTTGTTTATGGGTAATTGAAAATAGCTGTTAAGGAGTGAAATGTATGGTACTTTCTGAGTTGTATTTTAATTAATATTTGTTTGTAGTTCATGGGATGGAGCATAGTTATTTACAGTAATGAGAACATTATAAAGATAAATGTGGATTTACATAATATCAAATGTCATACCATTATGCTTAAACTTAGAGCAATGACATTATATCAAAGAGGGAATAGAAAGGAAACAATGCCCATCTACATCCACTGCTACTGATGTCCTTCTTTAAAAGCAAATATATGGTAGAGTTAAAAATAAACCAAGTTTTTAATATAACTTTTATTATGCTACTGAAAATAAGACAGTGTCTTATATTAATTTTTGCTCTGAAAGATGCGCTAGGTCTTATTTTCAGGGGATGTCTTATTTTTTCCATGAAGAAGAATTCACATTTATTATTGAACAAAAAAAATTCCCAAGTCAAACTTAGACGAGAGTGACGTATATCTGGTCATGTTGAACTGAACTTAAATAAAACCGAAGTGAACTTACGAAGTTCCCGTGCTGGAGTGGACTTCCCACTCTCTATTCTATTCTATTCGACACCCTTGGTTCATATAGAAATTACTGCCTTAAATGCTTTTTCTCCGAGAGACGTTTATTGATTGCTACGTGACCAAAGAGCCAGCCATATCAAACGGCCTATACGCGCGCGTGGGAAAAAATGCCTTCTGGGAGGACTTTTATGGGAAACTGGCCTCCTATTCAGTCATTATTGTCAAGGAGAAAACCTGGAAAACTCCTTGCAGCCAGCCTGTCCGATCGCGGCGTGAACCCACAACCGAACTTCCCAGTGTTCAGAGTTAAGTCATCCCACTCTCACTTCAACTTAACCTTTTTATAGCATCGACATCGGGCTCAATGACCAATTAGTGCTTACTGAACTGTAGCACTATGCAAATGTGATGTGGCGTGATTCCCGGCCGACCAATTAGCCATCACCAGCCATAATGTTATGCAAATCTGTGATTCCCAAGCCATAGTTTTATGCAAATCATGCCATGTGGCGTGATTGTCTGCTGATGAATCAATGGCTGTACTTTCAAAAAGCTAACAGCCACTTTCAACCATCTGTCGATGACCGTTACGAGTAAAAAAACTTTGCTAGGTCTTACTTTCAGGGGAGGCCTTATATTTAGCAATTCAGCAAAACCTAAGTCTTATTTTCAGAGGATGTGTTATTTTCGGGGAAACACGATAATACAGTAGAGCATAGTTTATCTGAAAGCTGATCAACCGAAATGTTGGTTAACTGAAAGCATTCCAGTCGGACTGTGTGTTGTGCTGAATCGAACGTTTTTGATACTAGATTAACTTCTAAAGTATAATATTTTTTCTTTTATATTTTTCAATATATTTATTTTGTTTGTACAAAATAAAGAAATAATTTTTAACGATACAATAGCCATGATTATTATTATAAAAGTTTTCATTAGTCTTAACATCGATGAAAATTCAACATGAAGCGACACGCAATGGAGAAAAGTTTAAACATGGGATACATTAATATACTATTATTGGGATATACTAATATACTATATTAATAATGTATTTTTTCATACATAATCGGTTATTTGAAAAATCGATTTTCTGAACAACCCCAGTCCCCAATTGATTTGGATAATTAATGCTCTACTGTATTAAAATAGTCGGAGTAACTTCATTGAAAGGTAGATGACTGAGGAGATTAAAGCATCAGCCTACCATTCTAGGACCCTGAATCAAATCTGAACAAGCAACTCTANATAGTCGGAGTAACTTCATTGAAAGGTAGATGACTGAGGAGATTAAAGCATCAGCCTACCATTCTAGGACCCTGAATCAAATCTGAACAAGCAACTCTAGGAATTTTTCAGGAGTGGTCTATCACACGTTTGTCTCCGTCTCTCATCATTCAGTTATCCCTATTATGAGCATAGTCAAACCCACAAAGGGTATGATTTAAAAAGATTCTCTTAATGCCTGAAGACAGAGTAGAAAGAGTAAAAAAAAAATTAAAAAGAAAAAAAAAGACTAACCACATTACTACCATGGCTATTACAAAATTTTATGAAATTTTATAATTATAACTGAAATTATTGAATCATTCCTAAGGAGAACAATCAGAGAGAAATAATTAATATCATATTTGTACTTGGAAGATTATTTCTTGTTAATAATTTTTGAATTAAAACTGACATAGTGAAAGGTCGGATTACAACCAGATTTAAGTATTCAGATTCAGTATAATATTCCATTATTACTTATTACATTATATAAAAGTATAATATTCCATTATTACTTATTACATTATATAAAGATAATTGTTTTAGTTATGCAAACCCATAAATGGTTACATACACTGTATTTTATGATTTTATTCATAAGTGAAAAAACTTGCTACATAGTGATTGTATTAATTTTATTTAGGTTATATAATCCTCAGATTCTTGGAGGAAAATATCTATTTGCAGTTAAACTGATGTATTTGAGTAGCAAAATTAAAATGAGAATAATCATCATCATTTTTTCAACTATGAGTAGTAGTTTGATGTTTTGGAATTATTTTAATCAAACATAAAAAAGACCTTTGAATGCTGATTTATGAATTATTACAAGGTCTGTTCAAAAAGTATCGGACCTTTGGTCAGCAAAAATAAATTTATTGACTTTGAGGTACAAAACCCTAATCCCCTTCAAAGTAGTCTCCTTGGTAATGTATACACTTCTCCCAGCGTTCCTGCCATTGCTGGAAACACTGCTGGAACGCATCTTTTGGAATGGTTATCAGCCGGTCCGTCGCATTTCGCATGATGTCTTCTCTCGACTAAATTTGGGTTCCTTTTAGCGGCATTTTCAGCTTGAGAAATAGCCAAAGGTCACACGGAGCCATGTGGAGAGAGTACGGAGCGTGACGAACCACAGGAGTATTGTGTTTGGCGACGAAAGCCCGAATCAGATGCGCAGAATGGGCGGATGCGTTATCACGATGGAGCTGCCAAGTTTTGATCGACCACAGATCCGGTCGTTTGCGTCGCACTGTATCGGAAAGACGACGAAGGACCTCCTGGTAGTACTCCTTTGCGATGGTTTGGCCTTGTGGTGCGTACTCACGACACACCACCCCACGAGAGTCGAAAAAACTGTCAACATGACCTTTGATATTGCTGCGGACCTGCCGCGCTTTTTTTGGCCTCGAGGATCGTCCCCGAAAGCCTGCTGAATCTTGCGAATGGTTTACACTCGGGTATCGCCAAGGTTTTTGGCAAAATTTGATGTAATATCGCTGCTCACGTTGTTCAGTCATTTTCCAGCTTAGTGAAATCCGACGAGAGCGCACTACATGACCTCACTCATACGCCGATTGCCAACGACTGACGCTTCCTGCAGGCGGGAAAAAATTCAGGGCTGTGCATGACTGTCCCCTCCACAACTCCACCGAAGGAGGCCTCTCTCGCATCATTGGTTTACGCCGGAAAAAAAAAGGTCCGATACTTTTTGAACAGACCTTGTATATTAGTTATTATATTGAATTATTAGTTATTATAGATATTACTTGTTTTAATTCAATATTAATTACTATTAAATATTATATTCTAATTAATTTTTAATATTACTGAATTTTGTTAGTTTTATTTTTATAAGATTGAAATTATTTTTTTATATAGAATGATGTTGTATGCTTATCCCCACAATTAGCAAATCTTCTTGGTTCTATTGGCCAACTATGTATTTGTACTCGAGTAACAAATAGTATACATTTGATTGATCCATCTACTCTTCAAAGTATGTAATGTTATGCTAAATAATTTTATTAATAATATTAGAATTTTATAAATTTTCATTTTGTGTATATATAGTTGCAGAAGTGAATAGTCAATTGTTTTGGAGATATCCATTTAGCAGTCTCTGCTCTTCCAAACAGTTGATAGAATACACTGTTATGAATAATGAATTTATTAAAGATTCGGAGCGCAGTATTTTTGCTGGACAAGGAAAATTATCCGAAAGAGTAAGCAATTAAACTGTTTTATAAAGGTAATTGATTAGTTCAAATTTATGAAATAATTAAATTTTTCAGCATGTTTTGTCTGATGTTTGGGTCGTCAGATCATCTGAGTTGGGATTAACAAATGATCTTATTCATTCTCGAACACACATGGGTCATTTGCTAAAGCCTGGAGATACTGTTTTGGGGTAAGTGAAATCATTTTACTGACTATAATTTATCTACACACATTATTTGGAATAACAGCAGATCTTATATACAGGGTGTATCAGAATAACGTTTTAAAAATTTGGAGGATTGTAGAGGATGAAATTTTGAAAATGTACTTATTATTATATACTTATAAAATAATTATAAGTAATACTTATGACATTAGGTTTATTGCTTAGGTTTCATCAATTCATATTACATTTAAACATCAAGAAGAAAAATTCAAAGAACCATTCTTTGGAATATCTTTTCCTTTGATTTTAACAAGATATGACCTATGCCTGTTTTTTGTATTTATTGAGGGATGTAATTTATGTACTGTGATATGATGATTATCAATGGAAAGCTTGCTTGCATTATATGGATTACATCCTTTTATTATGACATAAACAGATGAAGTCATGAGGCAAAAGTACTTTTCATTATCTCTTTAGTTTAATTTAAAAGTAAGATAAAATATAACAAAAGCAACCTTTTGTTATATTTTATCGTAATTCATGGTAGTGGATTCAATGACAAAGACAAATCACAAAAATAGAAACTGAACTGACAGTCATAACAATAACAACAAAGAGAAGCTGAAGAAAATAAAAAGAAAACAAAGACTGTGAATTATTTATAATAATGGATTGTGCAGTTAATATATTAATCATTTCAATTTTCATTTTCTTCCTTTTTAGTTGCTACTGTTATGTGCACTCAATACAAATACATAATAATGAGAAATTGTTTATTGTGACATTGCCACAATGCCAGACTGCAATTTTTAATCATCTTTTAATTTAAAAATCACATCACTCCCAATCCAGACTAGAAGTTCATATATAATCAGAGTCTGGAGCCTGAGATTTTCATATTTGGTCTTCATATTCATCTATTTAACTTAACTCTGTTCTCAATATTAATGGACAGACAGCCAACACAAGAATGCAATTTGAAAATTGCAACCAAATAAATTACTAGATTAATCAGATTTGTATACTGTACGCCTTATTGGATCTTTCAAACCGTTAAAATAATATATAATTTTCATTTGTTATGAGTTTAGTAGTGTTTTTTCCAGTCATCCATACAAGTTTTTGTGTGTTTGCTATCAGAGGTGACTTTATGTTCATACTATTCTTAAAAATAATTTCATTCACATTTTTGACAATTATCAACAATTTTTTATTAAAAATTTAACAGTTTAATTTTATTTTCATAATGTATTATTAACATTTTCCATTGTCAAATTTGCATTTGAATATTATTCTGATATGCATTATTGTTTTTGTCCAGAAATGTGTTAGAAATACTATTTAGACAATGTAAAAGGTCTGAAGGTGTCATTGATAACTTTTTTAACAATCAAACAACACCAAAAGCAGTTAAATCAATCCAAAAACATTGCTAATGTAAAAGATGATGACAAGGAGACAGAAAATTAATTTTTATTGAATAACTGATATGTTTGAAATGAGACAAAGATGATGACTGTAATTATTTGTCTTTAAATGATAGTTAAAATGATGATGATGTATATTATTTTAATTAACTAGCTTTTAAAGAAAAATAGTTACAATTATTATTCTTCTCTCATCTCAAACATATCTGTAATTTAATAAAAAAAATACGTTTTTCTGTCTCCTTGTTGTGATCCTTACATTATCAATGTTTTGGGTTCATATAATAATACCTTACACAGTATGCTTACTAACTACTATTATTATAATTATAACAATTACTGTTATCTACACACACATTTATATTAAAATTTTATTTATAATGTAATCTGAAAATGTTTTGAGTAATAAAAGTAAATTATTCATTAATTTTTGATCTTGCCAAATAATTCTAAGAAAAAATATTATCAATAAATCCAAGTGCACAATATTTATTCATTACTTTAGGAAAAATTTTAAACAGTAAAGAACAAAAATTAAGTTATATTTTTAAAAAATCTCAAAAATAATTACATTTAAATCATATTTATATGTATTTTATTCTTTTGTTATAGATATGATATTCGTAATTCAAATGTAAATAATGTCAATTTTGATAAATTAAGAAAAGACAGAGTTCCTGATGTGGTAAAATATCTTTCATTAATTAAATTGTTTTTAAAATTTTACAAAATGATTATAAATATTTTTTAAAAAAACAGGTGTTGGTGAAAAAAGTTTATTGTAATCAGTCCTCTCGTCACCGCAAAAGAAAATGGAAGTTAAAACATCTGTCTTCAGATATGGATCTTGACAGCCAAAGTGATAATAAGTACGTTTATTTAATATTTTCAAATTTACAACTTGAATATCTGTCATAATTATGATACATACATACAAGAAATACATTGGCTGTACATGGAGTGTTTAGCCAGCAGAAAAGAGGGTAAGGGAAAGGGGAGGAGAAGAAGGAGGGAGAGGAGATACAGTAGAGAAAGGTAGGATCCCTCTGAATAGTTACATAAGGCTACAGTATTCTCTATGTTTGATGTTGGAGTGCAGTTTTTAGGCTGAAAGGCCATAGTCCTCCGAAGTGTCTAAAAGAAAATCGAGTGTAGTGAACACCAATAATCGAGTGCCGCCATGAATAGCTAACTGTAGAAGTTAGTGCCAAGTGGCTGTTAGTAGGAAGACTTATATCTACTTAATACTAATAAAACTGAATGTGATCGCAAATCTTAAAACTACTTAACAGCTAGACAGTCAGTGCAAAAAGCAAACAAACACAATGACAAACTAGATGAGACGAACAGATCGACAAAGACAGATGAGCAAGACCCCCCCAAATTTTATTATTTATTTAATTTTTTCTTTTTGTATTTATTTATTTATTTATTTTTTTGGTATTTTTGAAACAGTGCCAGTAATTTTTAGTAATTCGAACACAAATCATTTATTGTATTTATTCAGACACTTGGCAAATCTCATCATTATTTATTTTTTTAATGTTAAATTACTCACTTACTAACTAAACTAACCTACCATAACCCAGGATGAACCTAACCAGACGACTAAAGTTAACAAACCCTAATCTAATTTAACCTAACTTATCATAACCTAACTGGAAACCAAGCTGAGTCCATACCCTAACTTATAACTAGGACTAACCAAATTTAGACAGAAAATAAGAATTAAAATATGAAGTTGAAAAGCAGCTATATACCGACAATTGAAACAAGGCAAGGGAAAGCTAATTGCCATCTGTGTCCCCGGAGTGAGTGCTCTCAAGAGTCTCACTAAGGCATATGAATGCGAGTAGATGATGGAACATTGTATGTGTGAATGAGTTGGTGTGGGTTGCAAGGCCAGTTGTACCCTTCAAGAATAGCAGCTCTCATTAAACTATCCCTAATGTGATTGTATAGTACCTATTGCAGCAAAAAACTAGGTAAAATAGTATTTGGTCCTCCTGAATACCACAGTTGCATTGTGGATTGTCCCCCAAGGTTAAACAGTGTCATAATTATGAATGATAAAAGAATAATTAGAAACTATGATTGAATCATATTAAGAAAAAGTAAAGTAGTATTTTACATTAATCTTTATTATATAGGGATTATACAGAGTTCTTGGAAGATCTTGAAGAGGATCCTTTGTACAGACAGAATGTTAATATATATGTTGGTATGTACAAAGTTTTATTAATTATAAATTAAGAAAAATAGAAGATAAAAGACCAAATCCATGCATTTTTTGTCCATCTAAAAAATGTTTGTAGAAGTTAGAATTTTTTAAAATTGTATGTTCAAGGGTTACATTTAATAAAATATTCTAAACATTGCTTTTTTATAATCTTTATACATTAAAGAAAAATGTTGAGATATTTTTAAAATATTTTACAGATCCGAGGAAAAAGACAGCTAGTATGCCTATTGAGCTAGATGAAGATCTACCACAGATAAGCTTGCAGGAGATGTTGGATGATTTGAGTCTTGTTACTGATGATGATAAGATGACTGAATAAAATTAAGAAATTGTTGGAAAACTCGCAGATATTTTTTCATATACATTATAAAAAAATAAATGGCAATACAGAGTTTAATCCAATTATATTTTTTATTTTATTCTAAGTGTAGATTTTAAAATTTTCAATGTGATGAAGTGTAAATATATTGCTCATTATACAAAATACAATCAACTTATCATAATCAGATACAGTGGTACCTTGGTATACGTCTGCTTTAGAATACGTCCAATTTGGAATACGTCTTGTTTGGATGAAACAAATTTTGCTCTGTATACGACTTAATTCAATTATACGCGCCATCTATGAGCAAGTAGCACTATTGGTGTACTAGACCAGAATAGATGTTTGCAGTGCAACGGTTTATAACTTTGTTAAATTTCTTCTCATTTTAATTTGTAAGTAAAATTTTGTTATTTTTATTAATCATGAATTGCAAAAAGGCAAATGAAAAGCAACAGAAAAATAATAAAATGACTAGGATCACAATGGAACTGATAAAAGAAATTGTTGAGAAATATGAAGATGGCATGCGTGTTTGAGATTTTAACTGTTGCATACCGTATTCCAAGAACGATGATATTGACAATCGTGAAAAATAAAGACATCATTAAATCTGCTAACGTTGCGAAAGGGGTTAAATCAATTTCTAAACAGAGATCGAAGACATTAGATCATGTTGAGAAATTGCTTTTGCTTTGGATAACTGAAAAACAGTGTGCTGGAGATAGCATATCAGAAGCAATTATTTGTGAGAAAGCTAAAATGATACATGCTGATCTCATGAAAAATCAAGCAGGCACTAGCCAGGAAAGCGAGGTGTTAAAGCCAGCCAATCTTTTTCACTTGAGAACGGATTAATCATTTTTACATTACTTCTTATGGGAAAGGTTGGTTTGGTATACGTCCAATTCGGTATAAGTCCAAACATCAGGAACGGATTAAGGTCGTATACTGAGGTTCCACTGTATTCTGAAATACCAAGTATTCAATGTACATTGGAGTATTTGAAAATAATAAGTATTAGATGTATTTTGTAGTCTTGAAAATTTTAACACTGAATTTTTTTGTGTAAAAATATTTGAAAATACTTCAAATACATAAAAATATTTGAAGTACTTAAAGGTAGTTACAAAATTTAAACATTTTTAAAAGTAAACAATACATAAAAGTGTCTTTAACTCACCCTTTGCATGCACATGAGGAAATGAACAGTTTCATGGCAGAATCAACCTTTCATTTGTGGCTACTTGTCCACCTCAATATGTAAAACGTTAAAAATATCTCTGGTGACAGCACAATTAAAAAATAATAAATACATTTGATAAAAATTGCCAGGACCAGTAAGTTAGTTACAAAATTTAAGAAATTATATATTTTCAAACCAACTTCTGCATTGTATAGAGATATGTGCAGGTAAGCAGAAATTGAGAGTTTGAATCTCTGCTCTAGATTGACTTTTTCTTTCAGAATGATAAAATTATTTATGTAATTACAGTATTAAATTTCATACTAGATGGTGACTTAATTGCCTACATTTTAGTTCAAATTAAAAAGCATTTTGTATATTTGATTATCTAAAATGTAGTATAATTATAAATTCAGCTCAATTTGATTAGTAATATCATTTGGACTTGGTTTATGATGAGTTAAATATTTATATATTCAAAATATAAACATAATAAAAATGCTAAATATGATACTGATTTGATTATTGTGAAAGTGTTCACAGTAGTAAAATCTAAACTAGTTAGAAATAACCATGATAATGCTATTTCTAATACATTAAGTGCTTCACTATGCTTAGGCAGAGTCTGAGTGAGGCAATTAATGCATTATAAATCTTTGACTCATTAATCATGCATTTCTGTTCATGTTGTAACAAATAATACATAACACTTGCTCAATAGCAGTCCTACAGTTCACAGACAGTTATGTAAAAAAATTTTTGAAAGTACTTTGAAGTCTACTTCAGTTAATCAACGCAGTACCCTAAATGTTTTATATATATATTGTTTCACTTGTAATGAACTTGGAACTTTTGTTTTGCATCTGCATGAACATTTGCTCCATTCTTCTGGAAAAGACTAAAAACATATTCTGAAGTTAGTTGTGAGAAACTGTATTGATCCTTACTGTAACTTTTCTTCATTTGTATTCATAGTTATCTGGAATTTCATTTAGTATCCTACATCTGATGAAAAGTGTAGTGTGTGCAGTAATTATGATCACAATATGTTTCAAATAATGCATTCTAGAAATTCTTGAAATTTCATCTGCTTTTTCTATATTAGATTACAGAACTTTTTATAGTCTATAGTCCAAAAGAAATTGATCATTCAATTTCCTACTCCCAATGTTTCACATCTGAAATAAACAAATGCTTAAAATTGTCATTTCCTTTAAACATATGCAACAGAAGGTATAGAACTTTCTCAAGTGAATCTTAAAATTTATGAGTTATTACAAAAGGCATTACTACAGCTATTATTTTATTTTACATTCATTAGTTTTTTTTACATTCACCTTAACTATGTGAAACAACCAAAATAAGAATTATTCTAATTTTTGTGCCCCAGCAGAGCCTGTTAAAAGCTGTAAAATATACTGTTTGATCTGTGTATATGCAGAGTTTAGTTTATCTTGATGGTAAAATACTGAAAAAAATTAACAATGGATCAATATGTGACAGCAGGTCGTCTATAGTACTTTTAACATGAAAATGATCTGTGTGGACTGAGTGTTTCCTAATATCCATAATAGTGAAATACGATAAGAATTTTGATGATGAAACGTGAAATCGTCTGTGTGGATTGACATGACAACACGTACAGATTGAAATTAGGAAAAACTACTTACGAACTGCCATAACTATTGTTCTACCATCTCGTGTTGCAGCTTCATTATACTATGACACGTTGAAATCAAAGATTAGCCCACATATCCCTTTACCGAAATCCTTTATAATTTACCATAAAGGTCCCAAATTTCCTCTGAATGTCCGATCCGAATGATACAACAATTTTAAACAGCACGGAGTTTCAATGGGAATGCCATTATACCATAAAGGAAATTGAACATATACTTTGTTAGTTTTTCTTGGTTTCTTACCATCACGTAGTTGTATCGCAGTTTTTATTCGATCAAAATCGGCAAAGACTTTACCGAGATATCCGGGAAAAACAGCGGAAAGATTTTGAATTTTTGCGCTGCAGCGCGAGTTCGAAGTTGAAATTTGGTTTGGGGTAGTTTGGGGCCAGCACCGACTTAAAACTCATGTTGTTTTATTTTACTTTTTTAGTTCTCTGGACAAGGAAATTTTCTGAGGAAAAAATATCAAACCATTTAGGTAATCATTCTTATAAAATAGGCTGTCGAAAGTAATTGCAGTAGCCATTTTAACAGGAAAAAAATGTGTTGAGGAACCAACATTCATTTACCTTTATGGCCATGTTCAATATTATTTTAAATGGCTTTTGGGTACACTTTCATTTTTTACTTGTAACTTCCATAAATGTACAGTACAAAAACATATTTGTTGGTAAATTTTCTTGTAAAAACCATGTTTCCTGTATTTTTGTATCATGATTCAAAACTGAAGTTTTCATATTTTTCTCACAAATGAAGTACATCAGGAATGTTATACACACAACGGTTATTTATCTTAAATTTTGTTAATTTTTTCCGGTCAATTGACAGAATTACCTAGCGAGGATCATAATTCTTTACTATTGGAGTCCATATTACTAACAACAGATTTAACAATAAGATTAATTCGTTCTATTGCTAAAATAGCGTTAAACAATTTTGCATTTGTTTTTTAAAAAATGCAAATTATTATTATTCAAATATTTAAATAAATAGTTTTACGACTACTTTTTTGAAAAACATTTTACGGATAAATTTCCTAAAATTTAACGGAGTATTATTGATTACTCTTGCCAAACAATAATAAATTTAAATAATTGTTTGAAATATGAGATGTAAAAACTTCAGGATTTTGATAGAAATATTTAAGATCAATGGTTTTTTCTGAATTTAAAAGCGAATTCAGAAATTAACTAAAAGGTAAGCATTCAAAATAATTATAAAAGACTTTTTCCGTGTCTATTATTGGCCCGGAATGAGGCGAATGGTGAGGGACTAGGCCAGGTCAAATCACCACACAAGTTTTATAATGGTGTCCATTTAGATCCGAGCTAGCTGAATCGCGAGTAAAATTCAAATCTAGGCTTTTTTTTTTGTAATCTACACTTTGGTCTTCTATATTCCTTCAATGTTAGATAATCAATTCTTTATGGGTAATTCTGGTTTTTAATTAATTTCGTTATTTTCATTCATACTAGACAGCTTTACTGAAAGGCCGTGTAGGCTCTCTCGTAATAAATAAAGCTGGAATTACAGATTAAATAATATCAAACCTATATTTATAATCTTCGTTTGCTTTAGTGAACTTCAAACTTGAAATCCATGTGTGGTGGTATCCCACATTTAGAATGAAAAACAGCCAGTATGTACTTGGAAAAAACAAAAAATTTCGAAAGAAAATTTAATCTAATCTTACGTTAAAAAAATAGCAAAGAAAAAGAATAAAAATGCTATTTTTATTTACAGAAAATAATGAACAAGCAACCGAATACATTTAAAAGATTTTTAAAAAGTTTTTGTAGCGGAAAAGAGAAAAATTCTACAAAAAAGTAAGTATAGTCAATTATGTTCTGTATTATTATTATAATTAAACAAATCAGGAAGATGTATTTAATAGAACCTTATGAATTTTCATGTAAAAATACATGAAAATTCGATTATAGCTATTAATGATGGTATTTGATTTCCAATTCAGTATCATTAAAAGTGTAAAAGTACAGTACATCAAGTTTTTAGTATGGATCCAAATTGAACATTGTTAAATAATTTGAGAGGAAGGGTGTAATTCAATTATTCATGCTGATATATCCATTCGTGGATGAAGGACGGAGTGCTTACTCGCTACTTTTGGAGATCTCAGGAGCAGTGGTGTAACTAGAATTTTAGTTCCTTAAACAAAATATGGTAAAGGGCCCTCCGATGCTTAGGACCCAACCCTTCCCCCACATTCATAATGGCATATTAGGAATTAAAACAAAATTTTTAAATTGGCAATTTTAAAACCTTAACTAAAAGCAGATAACATTGGTTTTTTTTAATACAGAACATTTCCGAAAAAATAAAACAATTTCACAAACGAAATAGCTGCAAAAATAAATAGCAATTCTTAATATTTTGTTGTTTATATTATAGCAGTATATTATGCAAATAATAATAAGTGTTGTCATTTTGCAACGGCTTGGTATAGGCTTCTTAAGTCACGGACTCATGCGAAACTCAAATTCAAAATGGAAACTTTAAACGGGAAACTGTTTTGAATTTCCATTTTGAATTTGAATTTCTCTTAAGTCCGTGAACGAGAGTTTAGAGAAATAATAGAATTATCTGTTTTCGTAAAAATGAAATGGATCATTTATAAAACAATATAAAAATGTTGCTTAATTAAACAAGTTATAACTTGTTTCGTCATTTTCTTCGTGAAAATGAATTATTATATAAAGATGTTAAACGTGTAAATTTAACATTAAATGTTAACTATCACGGGATGAGTTCCGTAATGGGACGGATATGTGACGAGGGATGATGTGGTTAATGCCAGACTACCAATGAAACTAGGATTTTGTCAAAACCCCGAATTTCTCAAAGGAGCAGGCTGTTGCTTAACCACGAGGAGAAGATGATGCGTGTGCTTCCATCAAAATTTAAAAATACAATTAAATAAAGCCACATTTGAAATAATTATTGTTTCCATAATTAATCCGATTCAGCATTTTCCAATTCGATTATTACGTTGTCATTCGTGTGGTTCGATGTCGTCGTAGGAATCGAGATCTATTTTCCTTTGGTTCAAACTCCAACTCGAATTGAAGTTTTCTCAATTACCCTTTGGCTGATAAGCTCATCACTTACGAACTTGATCGCATCTTGATATTTATTTTATTTCAAAAAATATTTTCATGAACCTTGGAATAGAAAATGTCTGGCTAGACAATTTGAAGAGGTAGAAAACTCCTTACCTCTCACTCTAAACTACATCACCTCTATATAGTGCAGTACTTCAACATATTTCCCATGCTTTTCAACACGGGGTTTATTTTTAACAGCACGGGATTATTCCCCGGGTTAAATTAATTGAGGAAATAAGGAAAATAAATAACGTATCATTTAAGGAGGTCCCTTATGATACTGCATTCGTTACTGCCCATAATCACTTTGCCACGTAATTATTAAGTATTCAATTTTCAAACTCTTAAAAATTTTATTTAATAATAATAATAATGTATAAAGTTTTTACAAACAATTCAAACTTTGTTATTTAAACTTGCCAGATCTCAGGTAAAATATTACATCCACGACCTGTCAAGCCCTGTAAATGAATCTTTAAAAATTCTCGATGGAAAAGAAATAAGTAATTCAAATTCTAGAGTAAGTTAATAGACTTATAATCATATTATATATTGAAGTAATTTTTAACTATTAGCCTTTTTTTGTGAAAGCCCAACAGTGGCTGAATAGATAAAACCATTCATTGAACACTGGTAGTTGATCATGGTATTGTGCCTCACCAACAGGCTGTCTACACGGAATTTTCTGGGTTTTCTTTGTGTGTCTAATCCCTAAATAAAGACAAATTTCCCCATAAAAGTTCTTCCTGCAGACTTCTTCCACTTGGTAGATTGCCCCAAAAGTTCCTTTACTCAAGTTTTGAAAATTATTTCATGATACAGTATTGAAAAAGTGACACCAGAGCATTATTGATTTAGATTTGTGACATCTTGAAATGGTTTTGAACAAATCCGTATAGTGATAAATGGAGTGTCGTTAACTAAAAAGTAGGAAATGTGGCCGTATTGAGTACGGCGCTTAATCTGAAATAAAAAAAATTACTCTTAGTAAGTAAGATTTTGTCAAAATAAACCTTCCAACAATGTCCGAAAATTTCAAAGAAAATAATTTTTTAATGATGTACCACTAAGTAAGTCTAATTTGTGTGAACTTGTTCAAAGTTTTCATGAAACCAGGATGTTTTTTTAATCACTGCATAATTTTTAAGGATTTATGTTACCCTCAGGACTTCGGTCTGGACTTTGCAATATTTCTTTTATGGGGCTATCTAAAGGATAAGAATTTATGTAAATACTCATAATTTCGCAATTTGGATGACTGGAAAGGCAACATTTCAACAAGCATAGTTGATATCATACCAACAATGTTCCGCCCTGTGGGCACTAAGAGGGCCTCTTTTTGGAAACCCATTATGGGTTCGGCCAGGCCCACAATGGGGCTGCCGGGTGGTGAGGGGAGGGGCCCGACATATCCGAACGGACCACCCCCGAAAAAATCCGCAGGAATTTTTCGACCCGTTCAGATTCGAACCCGGGTCCCCCAGAGCGGTAGGCTGCCACCTTGACCGCTCGGCCATCCGGCTGCATACCAACAATGTTATGATATGTTATGTGAGTAGGAATATATGTTGTACAGTACCATCCTGTACCATCAATTGAATCCAATCTTTTTGTGGGACTAGCAGGCCTATTTAGTTCGAATCTTATGTTTAAGTCCACAAAACATCAGAAATTATTCATTTAACTTAAATTCAAAGCTGGATGAACATCATAGGAATTTATCATGACAGTCTGTCCTTGATCTGTTGGATCTCCATCCCTCACTACCTGGCAGGCCCATTAATTAAGCTTCAAAGTGGTTGAACTAAATCCTGCCCCCATATACATTCTAACATCTAAGACGAGAACATCTTAACGGGTTTTACTGTATTATTGTAAAATAACAAAAAGCTTAATTTTGTGGGTAGAGACAAGTTTTATTAAAAAAAAATCGTGAACGCTAATAACGATGTAAAATATTCATTAAGTTCGACCGCACTGGAGATATGACACATGACCCCTTCTATGTCTTCACCCTGTCGACCTTTAATTAAGAACCAACTTTTAATAGCATTAAAGCCACTTTATACACAAGCTACAGTGCCAAACTTTACCCATTCTGAGATATTGTTTACTACTATATCTCAGAACAGAGAATAAAGAAATTAAACAAATTAGATGCCAACACAGACTTGTTCACGAACTTTCCCCTTTAATTGACATTTTTTTAGGTTTAATTTTATTATATAGAAAAAAATAAAATACTTTTACATATGCATATAACTTTATTCTTTAATGATTTAGACTGAAAGTATTACAAATACTAATTTTCACACCAATGAAACCACAAAAAGAAATTATTTGAGTGAGGAAACTTCGAAGAGAGATCAAAAGCAAGACATTCCTGAAGGCAATCAAGAAGAGATGAATGATGAGTTTCACATTCAGAGCTGTGATGATGAAATTATCATTAAAGATCCTACAATTAATCCTAGATTAAAAATAGTCAAAAAAAATCCAAAATTGTTGACACAGAAATCATCTGGAAATCAATATTTGCCACAAAAAAATATACTTAATTGTGAAGAAATATTGGATAAGAACTCGTCAAAAAGAACAATTACAACGGATCATGAAAAACAACTATCAACAGCAATTAAGCAAAATGAAATCTATTTAGGAAAAGTAACTTCCGAAAAGAATAGAAGATCAATGTCAAAATCTTTAAGAAATGATGATGCATCTTATCACAGTACAGATAATATTAATCAGTTAAATTACAATTGTGTCTTTCCTTTGAAGAGAATAAGAAGTTCTATCAACTTAATCTCTTCTGAATTATCTAATATGAATGACAATAAGGATCATTCTTCCAATGATTGTGCCACACATGGATTACAGAAATGTGTTGGTTACACTTCCGAAGGAGAATCTGAAGTGGAATTCAATCATCACCCTAAAAACATGCGAATGGGAAAGAATTTAAGAGATAATGCAGTGAGAAAACAAAGAAGAAATGGCATAAATGAAACGTGGGGTGATTTGTCATGCAAATATTTAGAAGATACTGGACATTATTCAGATGATGTACACTCTGTTAGAATGCCTTCATCACTGTTACATAGGAGTCAAAAAGAAGTCCAACATGCCATTCCAATCGAAATGGTCAAAGAACGAATAGAATTTTCAGATTCAGAAATTAATTCAAACTTTGATGCAGACAGTCATACAGAAAAGAATATGAAAATTATTCTAAATGACTCTCGAGGAGCTTACAATCGTTTGTTATCGGCATTAGGATCTAGTAAAAATTCTTCAAACTCTCACAATGAATCATTTACTTCTGATTATTACGGAGTAAGTTTCAAAAATATCTTAAAAACAATTAAAATTTTATGTAAATTAGCATTTAACAAATTTGATTAATTTATTTTTAATGTATGATTATATGAATAGGAAAAGCCAGAAATTTCAAAGAATTGTTTCCAAAATTCTAGACAAATAACAAAAAAGCGTGATCAAAATACAGTAAATGCTATAAGAAAACAACTAGGTTTAGAAGTGGAAAATTCAAGAGAAAATGATATTAAAATGGAAAAATTTACATTATTAGATCTCAATAATAAAGTGAACGAAGTTACTATCAACATGGATTGTAAATTTGAAGACCAAAGAAATCTGTCAACACCAATTTTGAAGTTAACTGGAGGAGTGGATAATTTTAAGATTGACAAGACCATTGTTAGGGATTATACAGATTCAAAATTATATACAAAAATGGAGTTAATTTCTGTTTATAACACTGAAGAAGAAGAAGAAACTTATTCTCCAGTGAAGTCATCAGAAGAGGAAGAATCAATTAATCAATTAATTGATTCAACTTTAAATGAATTGATGCAAAAGCTTCTGAAAATACAGTCAAATAATAGAATATTCAAATGCATAGAAAATGTAGTGAAAGAAACTTTGATTAGAAAATATAGCTCCAATTTTGGTGACAAAACTGCAGTCAAAGAAGTTATCCGAGATCTTATTAAATGTGCAGATGTAAAAGAAGTGGAATAGCAATTGAATTAAAATAATTACAACATAAAATTAATTTTTATACAATTTTACTTGAAAGCTGATTTTGTATTTTGCCCTTCAGCTTACTAAAATAAACAATTTTCTTTCTTATTCTAACTTAAATATATCTTAATTTATATAAAAGTCTCAATATAGTTGTTGTATAGTGTACAGAAAATATATCTTCTAGTTGCTGTAGTAATTGCATGTTAATGTGTAAAATATACAAAATTCTTTTCTAGTTTAAAATTTTTTTATACAAATAATTATATTTAATAAAATATTTTAGCAGTAATTTCAGTCTTACCACACATCAATCTTGTTTAAAATCATGCTAAAATAATAAAATAGTTTAAATAAATTACAGGGATTCCACAATAAAATTTTAAAATTACAATGTAATGATTATAATCATAGTTAAGAAGTACTATTGTAACTATAGTACTTCTTAACTATAAAAATGGATGGCTAAGGCAGTAAAGATGTAAGCCCACCACTCTGGGACCTGGATTTGAAATCTTGGTTAGGTATCTCAGGATTTTTTTAATGCACAGTCTGTACTGGATATATTGAGCCCTGGCCCATCAAGCAGGCCAAACCCATGATGGGCATAGAATAAAGGGTCCTCTAGGTCAGTGGTGCGCAAACGATTTTCATTTCCAACCTCCCATTTTGTGTAAAATTTTGTCATCACTCCTGGATAGACAGTGGATGTTTTTTAATTATCAACATAGTTAAAGTGAAAATCTTTCTGGGATTTGTATTTATGTTTCTGAATAAAACACATAATTTTATGAAATGGTTTTATTTATGTACATACTAGCTACTAGATAAAGAGAGAAGACCTTACCCACAGGTATAACCAAGGATAGGTGAGGGAATAAAGGTAAAGGAGAGGGAGGAGGGGAGGGAAGACAGTTGAGAAGGAAAGAGTGAGAGAGATCTCATGATGCCTGGCTGGGAACCGTTTACAACCAAAAGGGGTATACCTAGTGCTACACATAGAGTACCCAATATACCGTGCAAGCAGAACAAACGCATACACAATAATACAATAACAATGCATATATTAGTACACCGCGTGTACATAGATTAAATAGAACAAAATTACAACATACCCCTGGAAGTGTGAACAGATACAATAATAGTTACCTAAATATAAACCAGGGTAGATCCCGAACAAGTACAAAACAGATCTAAAACCCATGAGGAGTTGCTATAAAGGAAACCGACATAATATGGTGGCTAAAGGACTCAGAACACTACTAATTCATATGGAACAGAAAAAAGTCGATGCCCATACAAAGGTGACTACACTAGCTGAGAATTTTAATACTGAGGATAAAGTTCTTGAAGGCTACAAAAATGTTTTTGTTGCTAATTAACAAGTCCGAAGTACATGGCCAGATGATGATCTCTTTTCACACTACATTGATGAGATGTTTTCTTTCCTGAAAGTAATTAGGACAGTAGAAAATGATATGATAACTGTCTTCTTTCTCCCTAAGAGGGCAAGGGCAGTACTCCTCACCTTTCTTCAAGAACCGTGCAAGATAGGTCTTAAGGTTTCTGTGTCCTGTCATTATTTGAATCAGTTCGTAAGACGGAGTGAAGTACGTATACTTTTTCCTGTTGGCCAGGACCAGAAGGAATTAATGAGTGACCCTACCAATTATTATTATTCCATCTATGCTGACATTTGTTGAGTGTGAGGGACCTTAGCTGCTTGACCAACCAGCTAAGAGGACCTTTGTGTAGGTGTAACTATGTAGGTTAACCATGGCTTTTCTAGCCAGCAAGTCTGCCTGGTCATCCCCCAAATCCTGGAGGCTCTTTGACCCAGAATAAGGTGATATTGAAGATATTCTGGAGCAAATTGAGAATGTCAATAGTTTCCTTAACAATAGGAAGTTTAGAATAGGAACATTAGAGTTTTTTATCTGCCACAGTGCAACCTTACCATCACTAAAGATGTTTAGATACCTATTCCTGAGCTTGCCAAAGTCCTTCCTGATATATTGTAGGGCTCTGAGGATCGTCAGAGATTCAGCCTGGTTGACCGTACAGTTGTCCATCCTAAAATAATGCTGGTGGTGGAAGTCATTATCACTACTGCAGAGGACAAAGGACCCACCAATGCCGTTGCCTGATCTGGATAAATATTTATTCCCCAAAGGGCAGGGTTATGGTTGTTGAGAATGACATTATAACTGCAGGTCATAGCTGGATGCTGTAGATTGCTATTAATATCCCTATCAATGTATGCATATATTTGTTGAAGAAAAGCCTTGTACTTTTTTTATTGTCAAATAAATTTATTTGAATTTAACGACCCAAAAACTTCAAAAAAATTTGCAAACCTTGGGTCCACTGCTCTAAGTGATGAAGAGATGGGAGAATTTAAAGAAAAGTATATTAAAGTTAAATATAATGTTAATATTCAATGCACTCTTAAGCTGAGACAGGCTAGAATAATGACCCAAAAAATTTAAGATTAAAATTGTTTTTGGCCTCTATAAATAAGCAGTCTACCTAAATTTTTAATTTTAGTATTTCTTAATACTTTCAAAGTATGGTTGAAACTTTATATTTCTATAAAAGAGCACTTTTAACTATTGTTTAGCAAATATATTTATTTTGAATTATTATTCAGTATATCTAGATTGATAGAATAAGATGCTGTTGCCTGAGTTTTCCTCTTAATCCAGAGTTCTAATATGAAACTGAAGATTTAGTTATTTTTTTTTATTACAGCCAATTCAATATCCTTTCAGAAATATAACTACAGTACAATAAGGGCTTGAATAATTTAACCAGTCTGAAAATTATTTGTAAATTTGATTCCAATTTTGAATAATAATAATAATAAATAGAAAAAGATTGTTAAATAAAAATGCAAACCACAATGGAATGTACAATAAATATTAACCACAATAAAATTGTAGGCCACAATGGAGTGTCAATAATTTTTGACATATTTGCAGATGACAACTAGATGGCAGGACAAAGACCTGCACTGTGGAGGACCAGCATTTGAATCCAGATATATTCAAAGTTCTACAGACAGTTTGTCAGACCTCTTCCTGTACTATTCATTTTTTAGAAATGAAAAGGATTGATGTTCCCTTTTATAACTCTGGTCATAGGTTCTAGTTTGATTTTTTTAACATAACTAGGCATCCTTTGATCTCAAAATTGCCTTTTCATTTCTCAACAACTTTGATAACAACATACAACATATTGAAGAAAAATTCTTCTATTTTTAACAATCTCTGGAATGACAGAAAGAAAATGGTAAACTGTAAAGAAATTTTAATAATGGATCTAATATACAAAAGCAGGTTCTACAGAAATCCAATCATGGATGAAAAGAGTCACAACTATGGAATATGTATGAGAGAATAATAGATTAGAGATGTCCAGTTGCACAGAGATAAAGATGTTTTGTTATGATAATGTTAAAACAGAAATATTAAGATACTATAAGATCAAGTAGAATCAAGTAGAAGTGTTAGAAAACCTGAAACTAAGAAACAACCTAAGATTAGTTGAAAAGAGTTAGATTTTCAAATAAACCTTGGAATCATTAGTGGTGAATCAGAGTAATGCATAGAATGTCCCAACTGCATTGAAATAATTAGTATATAAGGTGATAGGGAAATAAAATATGATTGATTTTGTTAATAATAATACTTTTGTTTAACAAAAATTATTTGTTAACATCTTTAGTGTAAAACATTGTAATTGCTGTAGGGATTTCTATTCTATTTTTTGTTTTTTAATTTGTATCCTTTGCTTTCACAATAACAGAACTGTATTTCTGATGATGAACAGTTATTATTTGAAAGTATAACATCATTTTTTGTATTTCAAGTCATAAAGCATTTTCTATTTAGTAGTAATAAAAATGAATAATTGAAATATTACAAATGTTCAATATACGAACATAAATGTGTATCATGGAAAAGACCTAATATACCCCTGCCTGTAAAATAAAATTAATGCACATTTAAAATGAAAAATAAATTATATATATAACAAGAAATACACATAATGAAACTTTATATATATATGGCATATTACTTTAATACAAGTGCTTACCATTCTGTCCTGAAATCAAATATTCTGAATTTTTAGAATTGTAGAATCAGTTTTATTTCTTCAAAATGTTTATTTCACTGTATTTCCATCAATTTGTGTAACAAATAATTAATTTATTTAACTATCATAACATGTAACCTCCCTTTACTTAACTGGAGATTAAAAACAAAAAGCAAATCAGTACATTCTGGCCTCTCAGCCCAACTTTAGAGGTACCAAAATGCTTATTAACAATGGTTTTTGTAAGCTTAAAAATATTTATATTAAATTTTTATTTTCATTAAAAACATTGAAAAAAAAATTCTAAACTGTACTTATCTAATTATGAAAGACATTATTATTCAGAACAGTGGCAAACTTCTGAAATATACAGGGTGTCTATAGTTAAAGTATCCCACTTTAGACCTTTATGGAGACAATTGTTAAGAGATAAATGTGCCTACAAAATTTTATCAATCTATCTCAATTTATCAGTAAGACTATGGACAGAGTTTCAAAAATAGATATAGATTCCCAGTAACAAAAGTTATAATGATACAGTACCAGTGTCACAGCAGTATTGTAGAAACTGTGAAAAATGCTTTCTGTCACTTTTAGTCACACACTGCAATTGAGTTATCACATTAGCAACAGCCAAGTGCAAGATGTTAGGACTAATGAAATTTAATTCTCCTCTTTAGTTCTGATGAATTTACAACTTTCTATAACCTGCGTTTTTCAAATAGCCTCTTAAACAGAAGTCATAAGGTACAAGATTGGGTGAACAAGCCAATTGCATTGTAAAAGACTAACTAATCACCTTTTTCATGGTATGCCAGTTGGAAACCACTGACTTAGATAATAAAAACAGCATTAATGTCTTTTTTGTATGTTATTTATTTTGGTACTTTATTGCTTAGGATTCTGAAAAAATAACACTCAGGCATGAAGGTTCCTTGGATATTAAAAGTTTAAAGTAAATGTTCTAGGAAAAATGATATAATAAAAAATACAATAATTTTAAAAAATATTGACATTTTAATGATCAATAATAAGCATTTCTTTTGCAATTATAATATAAATTACATAAATATTTTTGATACCATATCAATATGTTTTTTTTTTAATTTGAAAGACACTATTCATTTTGTTATGCATTACTGTTTCACAGTATTTTGATTTTATTCTCAACACTTAAAACATTTGGGAAAGCTTTAATGTTTAAAACAGTAAAAGTTAACATATAAATTATGCTCTCTTAGCATCACATTCATTATGGAACTTCTTACAAAATTCATATACTGTATTACTTTGAACTTAAGTTACTGTTTTTCTGCACATTTTCAAACTGAAAATGGAGTCATCTTCAATTCAAAGTAATATCATATCTATAAAACCAATTTTTCAATTCATTAACTAGCCATTGATTTATAATCTATATAGTATAATTATAACAATTTGAAATATAATCACAGAACAATTTTAAACTGTTACACACATAAGAAAAGTGATAATTTATGTCTGTTAAATTAATAACAGTAGTTTATCACATACAACATAGAAAATTCTGGATGATTTTGATATTCATAATAGCAATAACAATGAAATGAAATTTTAAAACTTAAAATAAGAGATTTCTTTTGTATTACTTAAAGAGTAAATGGAAAAACAAATCTATAGACTATTGTTACTGTATATTTTATACAGTTATATAGTTAAATTTCAAAATAAAATTGAGTATAAGTATTGCAATATATTCAGATCTTAATATTAAAATACTTTTATTTTTAAAATATTTAATAATGATCTCTATATTCATACCATTTTTGCAATTATGTTTAAATTCTGCTGAGATGTAATATTAGCAATCTTGTAAATTTTGTTTAAAAAAAAAATAAAATAAAATAAATGCATAATTTTCTAATATGCTAAATTCAAGAATTCAGTGATTGGATTAGGTAAAGGAAGCTGATTAATTATGTCTTCTGCTCTTACTCCCAAATATTTACGAATGGCAGTCCTACAAAGATTTTTCAGAGGTGGAAATTCTCTAGACTTTGTTATTAACCAGTCTCTGAATTCACTTCTAATTTCTCGAATAAATAATTCGTCCTTAACCCATGTCTCATTTTGCATATTGAGTCCTGATGCAAGGAGGAGGAAAATTAAATTCGTTTTTCCATCTTTTGCTAAATAGTATAGAGGTGTTAAACCCAGAGCATCTCGAACATTGGGATTGCATCCAAATCTAATTAATAACTCAACCAAACAATCATCGTTTCCATTTATTGCCAGATGAAGAGGTGACTGACCCAACCAAGTGTTGACATTCAATTCACATCCATTTTTCAATAATATTTCAACAATTTCATTACATTGGTAAAAATGACAGTGCTTAACTGCAATCAGTAATGCATTTTCTCCAATATTATTTTGATGGTTCACCTATTAAAGAAAAAATTAAAATGTATAATTAATTATTTCAAATATCACCATCATCCTTTATTGTTAAGATTATTTAGCAAACAGTTTAATATGAAAAAGATCAAAACATTTACTTTAATTTGGAAAAATTTCCATGCTTTGCTTAGCATTTTTTAATAATTCATAAAGCTTTTCTAATTTTAGAAGCATCACTAAAAGATTATTTATTGCCAATGTAATCTTACAAAAACTGAAATTCTTAATTATAAAGAAAAAATTGATATGAATTATATTTTGATAATTATAGAATTTATAAATAAATATACTTTGGCTCCATTTCGGAGGAGAACTGAGATGATTGTAGGATCTGAAGAAAGACAATTGGAGGCATGGAGTAAAGGAGAATTCCCATATATATCTGTAATGTTAACATCTGCTCCCTTTTGAATAAGGAATTTAACAATGGATGTTTTTCCCTCCATACATGCTAATATCAAAGCTGTACGACCATCTTGATCTTGTTTGTTGATATCACTTCCAGCTGCAACTAACATCTTCACAACAGCTGTAAATACAATAAGATATTTAATGAGTGTAAAAATTCATTAAAAAAATAATAATAATTTATTATTTTTTTAAATGAATTTTTACCTAGTTCCCTTGCTAAATGTAGAGCAGTTTGACCAGAATTTGAAAGTGCTTTAACATTTGCTCTATTCTGCAATAATATTTCAGTAATACTTTCATATCTAAAAATTGCAGCTAAATGAAGTGGAGTATGTCCAGATGCATCAAACTGGTTGATGCTACATCCCCATTTTATGAGCAATCTCACTAAAAACAAATTGTTTAATTATTAAAATAGTTAATATTGTTATACACAAATTTTTAAAACAATCACCAAAATATGATATAATTAAAATACTCATAAACACCAAAACCAGCAAAAATCTCCAGAAAATGTATGGGGGCTTCCTTCTACTGGAAGCTCTTCAAGTTAAATATGTGCTATTGTTTAACATTTTGTTCAGTTCTGAATTCTATGAATACCCGATTATACCCAATTGTGACCATTATCAACAGATGAAAATGTTCATATCAATAAAAAGAGTGGAATTTTTTTTTTTTTTTTTTTTGCTAGTTTTGGTGTTTGCGAGTGTTTCAAAACATTTTAATTATTTTCTTACCCATTTCAACATGGCCTCTTTCAACACACAAACATATTGCTGGTTTCTCTTGAGAATCTACATAAAATCTAGTATCTGGATCTACACCCTTTGTTAACAGCCCTTCTGCGAGATTAATGTCATTGTTTTGTATTGCAACCAATAAATTTGATTTTAATAATATTTTCATTCTTTAGCCTGTAAAATATGAAAAACAACATAAATGCATTAGTTTAAAATTAAATTATACAATATTTTTAGATTATTAACTTTCATAATAGTAGTAATTTAATTTAAAAATTTGAATGCTCAATAATTCTTTGAAAAGAAAAATTTGGCTATTATTTTCTAATTTTCCTGGTATAGTATTGCACCATTGCAATACTATACCAGGAATTAAAATATGTTTTTGAATTGAACAATTTAAAACAAAAATTTTAAAATAATATAACTTGTTTTAATATCAACAATTATACAGTTAGATTCTTTATTATAAATTTCTGTTCCAACTGTTCAGTTTTTTTGTATGATGATAGCCAATGTAATGATTGAAAACATTTCTTATTAAATATATTTTGGCTTCCTTCATTAAGCAGTTTTTTTTAGCATGATGTTAACCTTTCAACAGTGGAATAGTCAGATATGGTGCTACCCTTAGTAGTGGAGAATAAACAAAATTTTTAGAGTATTTTTCCACGTATTTTTTCTCGTTACTATTTTGAAAAAAGATTTTGTAAACAGTTATGTCTAGTAAACAAAAGTCTTTTTTTATTGTTACATAATTTATTTTTTATGTGAATTTTTTTTTTCGTGGTAGTTTTAAGCTAGTTTTTGGTGATACCCCCCAAAAGAATTGACATATATATTTGTCCCTCACCACTGCCACACAATCGCCCTTGACGAATATATTCATCGCTCACTGCTGAGTGGTTAAGTTTCAAGATAATATAATAATTTTGTTAATCCCTGTTAATTTTTTAACTAGTCAGCTGTATTTTTCTAGTCATTTTAATCTTGCAGCATGTTATACTTTATTTAGCAACAATACAGTACAGTTTTTGCACAATTTTATAAGTGAACAAAATTTTAATTCTTTCATATTACATGTAAAATAATTTGAAATATATTTTTATTTCTAATGTTTTTAAGTAATAATCATCAAAATTTCAACTTTCTTGGATATTAATATGTTACAAAAGAATAAAGTTTATATAAATAAAATATGAACAATAGCAATTAGCTGTTTATATCTTTTTACTTAATTATACTTTTCAATAGACTACTAATTTCTCATCAGAGTTTGGTTCACTGTATTTTACAACATATAAGACACATGGGCATATAAAACATATTCCCATTTCAGCATAGAATATTTAGAAAAAAGTATTTAGTGTATTTAAGCCATCCCACATAATAAGATAACTGGGAGGTTAATTAGATAGTAACATGTTAAATGTTGAGAAAAGTTTACTGCTTAACTTTTAAGAGTTGAATACCATATGACAAATGATTGATTGATAACTATCTTATGTTAGCTGACTAATATTTACAATAATTCTCTTTTTTAATAATTAAAATTAGTGATGATAATATGTTTAATTAAACAATAACATTTTTATTGAAGAGTTGGGCTAGGAAGACACACTGTAGCCTACTGAAGTCTGTTTGGGGAATTCATTAGACTATAGGAGGTTGCAACTTCACATATAAGATGCAGAGCTATTCCCCTTCTGCAAAAGTTGCATCTTATATGCTGTAAAATGTAGTATATTTATTTCATTCTTTTACCTAAATTTGTTTAAGATACAGTTACAAATATTTTGATTAATGTTTTTGTGTTTTTTGAAGACAAGTTTACAAATGATGTCAAAAAATTAAAATTAGATTAATATCTGATGATTTGAGTAGTGTACTAAGTACTTTGGAACAATTATAAAGAATCCATTCTATTACAATATATTGTGTATGCATATGTTCAGGATCATACTCTTGATACAGTATATGACAATCCAAAATTTTTAATTCAGTAGAGCCTCGAAAACTCAGCCTAATGTGGACCGAAGGGTGGCCGAGTTTGTGAAAATGCCGGGTTATCGGGAATGGGGTTAAAAAAAATAAGTATGAGTGTTTCCTCAGAAAATACTGTACTGTACTTGTATGTATTGTTTACTTGAGAATACAACAGAGAATAAACTGCCCAAATACCCTTAAACAAAGGAAAAGTACGTCTTTTATGAAGGCATAGAGCCTTTACTACATAAAAATGAAAATTAATGAATACACTGTGTACAGTAATTTACCTGATAAGACAGACCTCAGAAAAATACTTTGAGGCATAAAGCTGTCTTTATCATGAAAATTAATTAACTAAGGATTTTTTTGCCCTGCCAGGGTGTGGCCGAGTTATCCGGAGTGCCGAGTTTTCGAGGCTCTACTGTATTTCAAAATGAAAAGTTTAATTTAATTAATTAATTAAATTAAACTTTTATTATTAATTTATACTAAATTAGTATAAATTTAATTAATTAGAATAAATATTATAATTATAATTTACCTTGTGTAGTCTAATAATTAGCTTTAATTGTGAAAGTTCATTTGTCATGACAGTTTTTAACAATAGTTTAAAGATGTTAGTGTGTTCTCCGTCGGCCAAGGAAGACGCAATGAGATTGAAACGAAGCATCCGGACTTCTCACGAAGACAGATTTCTCTTACAGAACCAACTAAACCAACAGAACGAAGATAAAGTCAGCAGTTTAAGGACTCGATCTGGCTATAGAGTCTCTCCCAGTGGAATCAGAATACAACAGGGATGGCATTTCTTCCAGAATCACAATCAACAGTCGAGCCCGTCACCCACAAAAACATCCCAATGTGGCTACAATCCAAATTTAGCATCGCCCTTGGAAGATATGAGCGATCAGGCCATGTCTTTGTCATCTCCAGAAGATATATCCAAGAACGGAACTACTGAAGACGATAGCTTATCCGATCTGGAATATACAGAAACTAGCCCTTTGCTAACTGGAAGGAACTTGAAGAAAAGTTTAGAAGAGGAGGACGACTTCGAAGATTTAAGCGAAGATTATAACAACAATAACAACAATCATTGCAACGCTAGCAGCCCCGAAGTTGATCCCGAAGACATCGATAGTGAAGATTCTTTGTTCTCCGATTCCTCAGATATGTCAGATCAAGCCGGAAAGGATTGCTACGTTCTGGAGAATACTTACAATAATAATAACTTTTTGGAAAATAATACTAGGGACCAATTATACATCGGAGACGAGAAGCAATACGCAGATACTCAATTGGATAGGAGGAGTTCGGATGAGAAAGCGAATCCCACTTTGGTCTTCTGCAATTCCTCGTCAGAGTCTCCGAAACTGACGGAAGGCCTTCAGAAAGGTAATAATCTTCCGGATGTGTTGCCCCTCGACGCTACAAAGTCTCCGAGTTCGGGTAGTGGGCCAGATACTAACGATGTTAGTCCCATGAGTGATATTAGTTGTTCTTCGGATTTAGACGTGAACATAGCTTCCAACCAAGCATTCAACAATTTCTCGATACCTCTGAGTAAGCATAATGATATTCAGTGCCTCGTTCAGGACACTGTTCAGCAAGAAAAGATAAACATTCGAGAATTTAATTCCGAACAGTTTTCGACTTCTTTCGAGGAATCGAAAATTTTGAACACTGTGGAATCTCTGCCGCGTAACATGACCAAAGAATATCAGCATCAGTTAAGGAACCGTAGCGGATGGAATCACGGAGAAGATTGGCAAAAATCGCAGAACGTACACGAAGCGGAGGAAAAATCTATCACACCGAATAAAGAAGAAAATACTCAGGATAATAGGGAACAAGAATTTACAGAACGGTGTGAACAGCGGGCGGAGGATTTATTAAAAATCCTACAGGATTCACCCGCTAACATGGTTCGTTGCCCCGAAAGGATCAACGATTCTCAGAGGAATGGACTTCCTGTAGATTTATTAACCGGGACTTTAGATGCCAACGGAGCTTGTGTGCCTCCTCCCTATTTCGGTGACGAAAATCATAACTGTGACGTCATCACTTCCTCCTTAACACCCGAAGATAATAACGCTGTCGAATTAACGCCTNACTTTTGTTAACTTTTGAAACCTAACCCTATCTTTTGCATTAGTCCTTTGTTTTGTATAGCACAGATTTACATAACAAGGCATTTTTTCAGAATGTAACTACCATGTTATAAGAGGGATACCTGTAATTTTGTTGAAATATCATAAATATCTCCATTGAAAAAATATTTAAGTTTAAAATAAAAAGTAAGACACATTAGCACAAAGTTAAAATTGTATGTGGCATCATCTGTTATGAGATTTTATTAATCATTATAAAAAGGCAAAAGGTTTAATTTTGAGGTTAGCAATGAGTTTTTAAAAAAAATAGTAAATCCCAATAACAAGTAACATTTTTCATTAAAATGGTAACTGCTGCAGCAAACTAGTTGTAAAATTATTAAATTACTGTATTTGAATCCTATCATTAGGATGTGAAAAGCAAATCATTATATATACAACACAGAGAAGGCGAGTCAAAAATAGTTCAAAAACTGTATGTAATTAATGGATGGCCCCTCAATATAAGTAACAATATAGTTAAAAGAATACTGTTTCTAAATTAAAAACTAGGAAAATAATAAGCCAATACAGCTCATTCTTTATGCAAATAGAAATATGAAAAATATTTGGTTCATTATTAGTTTAATTATAAATGTATTAGAATTTGTGAAATTTGAATGATATAGTAATATAGCATAAATTTTGTATTTTTTAAGCTGAAAGATTTTATATTTTTCATTAGCTGAAAAAATAATTTGGTACTATTTTGGATATGATTCATATTTTCTTTATTAGTTTCATCTAGATCGCCTACAGCTACTTATTTAAATCATATTTTTTTTTTTACCTGCTGTTTAGTATTGCCTATGTTGTAATACAGTATATGCTATTGTTTCCAAGAAAACAAAAGTCAACTAGACAAGTCCTGAATTACAGGATTTATAGGAAGAAAGAAATAATAAAATTATATTTTTATTATTTATTTAAAACTATAAAACTCAATGTAAATATTTTATTAATATATTCTAATATTGGATAGATATTATATAGATAACATAATAATTACATAAACTTACAAAGCTTATGACTTAATGATAGAATTATTACATATAATTAATATTTATTAAATTATTTGAAATGGAAACACTATATTTTGTAAAATATAAAGTAAATTCAACTATATTTTGTGTTATTAGCCACTCTCAAACCTTTACAGTAAAAATGATCTAATCTTTTTGGCTATCTCAGCATCCATCTTCAGGATACATCATATAGAACTTATGATACTTATATAACTGCTGTGTTCATTTTATATTATTGTATATTTTTAGTTATTTTTATTTTTATGTTTTTTTTTTGTATATTTTATCTTATTTATTTATTCTATAACAATTTTATCATTTAAATTGACTATCAGATTTTTTAAACAAAATCCATCAAAAATGCCAATCCTCTAATTTTGTTTATTTCTTTGTTCATTTTTCGATTTTACTCGTAAAAGAAGATTCTCATCTTATAAAATACGTAATAATTTCAAAGTTAAAATATAAATACACAAACATCAAAACAGTAAGACTATGTCATATATTTCATATTACTTACATAAACATGTTTTTTTACATTACATCGTTATTAAATCATCAAAATAATTATTTACACGTTATTTTACTTACTTGTATTGTTGTTTTTTTATGTTTAAACTATTAAACCCTGGAAGATAAACAAATAAATATATGTAGTCTATGAAGAGATTGTGTGAATTCTTCACTTGTTTCGTTGTTCAGTTCAATTTGTAACATAAAGAAGATTTAAAAATTTTCAAATTACGCAAGAAACTAGTCAGTCACAACTGTTGTCGTCCTTGGATTGAAGAGTGAAAACACGAAAGGTTCAAGGTAAAGGCGTAACTCTTACATCATTCAATTATTATTATTATTATTGGTATTATCAGCTTATAAAGATCAAATATAACTTCAAATTACGTATATAAGAATCCTTACCTTCTTTTTATTAAAAAAACACAACGATTTCTTTTGACTTTAAAAACATAAACAACGTGACTATCGACTCCCGCGAAATAAATGCAGCTGATTGCTGGAAACGCCCTCTGCATTTTAAAAATAGCCATTGTAATAAGTTTAAAAATTTGAAATATTTTTAAGAATATTTTATTACATTTAATAAAAATATCAACGAATTAATAAATAACAATAATAACAAATTAATTTAAACGTGTATTGAGTATATTTTAGATAATTCTATCAGGAAAATTCTTCTATGCATTGACAATGAAAACCTGTTAGTGTTATGGTTTAGATTTGTAAAAAAATTACGGAAAAAGGTTATGCAATAACAGCTCTTATATTTAAAAATAAATCATTTTTCAAGGATAAAATGAAGAACGAATGACGATCAAGGTTAAATTGTTAAATCGTTTAATTATATAAAATATATAAGACATTAATTTTGTCACAAAACGTACACTTTACGCCAGTCTGACGTCATCCCCATATAGTAATTTTTAATAATGAGAAAATATCAATTAATGTCAAGTTAACGTAACTGTGTATACTATTCTAACAAAATAAATGACTGAAGTCTTATATCCTTACATTTTAATTTTTAAAATTTTTAAGTGCATTTGTTTTCTTAGAATCGTTTAAATAGAGAATAATATACGTCAGATTAGCCATTTTGGTTCCAAACATTTGGTTAACTAATTATTGATTAAATTTGTTTGCTTATTTTTTCATTCTTCTTTACTTGTATGTTCGCATTGTTGTACGCATATACTGTATTCATTTTTTTACTTTTTTCTTTTTATTTAGAGGTTTGTTTTGGGGCGGTTTTTTGTCTTGTTCGACATTATCCGTATCAACTGGTAATAAGAAATGAATAATAAATGACCTGGGGGCACTAAAAGGGCCTCTTTATGCCATCGTGAGTCTGGCCAAACTTACATTGGGCCCGACGCATCCCATTCAGCCTACATAAGAAAAATTGCTGGTTACTCGCTCGGATTTGATTTCGAGACCTTTCCAGAGCAATATGGTTGATGCTTTAAAAATAACAGCAACTTTCAATTTCGTGATTTTATGTTTGTACACATAATACACACAAACATCAATATACTCAATTTTATTTTTAGTACGTACACAAAATTCAGAAAACTAAGCTGAATTGGGCGTGTAATATTTAAAATATTTTTGCACTTTTATACAAGTACAAAAATATAACTTTCTCCGAATAACTAAGAATTGGGTACTCTTTGGTTAACGGGAAATCAGTCAATCGATGAAATCCGATTCGCGTTTACATCTTAATACTTGCTTTTACATTAAATTACATATAAACTTAATTAGAATGCAAACCTACCCTTTTTCATTAAGAGTATATAAAAGTTATAAAAGTCGATTATGAATTTAAACAATGTTAATACACCTTTGATATCAAAAGTGATTAGCATATTTTCGTGTTAGTATAATTAAAAAAGTCAAATTTCAAATTCTAGTTATTATACGTGTAACTTGTTATTTTATGTTATTTGGTAATAAATTCGAAATTAATATAATATAATAGGGCAAATACTAATTTCAAATCTCAATGGAAGTGCATTCATCAACAATCACATTATGCCAAGTGTTAGAATTTCATTACAGCATAAAATTCTTGTTAAAATTACTTTGAAATATAATGACACAACAACTTTCAATAGAATACATAAATACTAAAACCTTTAGACAAATTAAATTTTTCACTCGCAGCGTGTAGCTTTCGTTTATTATAATTTCACATTCTGTATTTATCAATAGAATGTGTATTGCGCTTGTTAATCCTCTTCTGCTTTTTGTGCACATTCAATTTATTCTATGAGAAATACTGGTAAAGCAATCGTTTAGAATCTTTTTCACTTGCTGTGAAAAAATTTTATCTATATAATTAACAAAAATTCATTTGAATACAAGTAAACGAATCATTACAAGAATTTGAATTTCAATTTTAATGGCGAAGATAAGTGAAAAGTAAATTGTTACCAGAGCCTCTTCAGCCATCGGTCGTATCGACCGATGTTACCGCTTCCCGGGACGTGGACCCAGAGGTTGGATTTTGGGAAGCGTGTTCGTGTTGTGAAACGGTGTTGTTTATAATGCACGTGAATGGAATGGTTGGTGATTGGATGCGACGAATGTGTCGTTGTTTGAACTGTGTGTTTCAGCGTGAGGGATGTTGTTGTTTATGTGCGTGGATGTGAATTACTAAACTAATGTGAGTACGACAAGGGG